CGACTTCTATATTCCGGCGTGCATGCATGTATCGTTTATTCTTGTGTATGATCTAGTGTCGTTTGATGAAAAAAAAAAATGATCTAGTGTCGTATATATGTATATTCATGCATATCATTTGAGGATACTGTTTGATTCGTTAAAAGGTAAACGTGAACGGATTATCCTGTAAATAAGGTAATTTGGAAGTTCAAATATTTCTGAAATGCTACTTTAGTTTAAATATTCTTTTAAGAATTTAAAATCTTTTGAAAGAACACCCCTACGTAAAATTCTATAGGAAACTATAATTACCCGGGTAAAATTCTTGAATTCACAAGACGTCAAAATGAATGCGTAAACATAAAAGGGTTGATATGATTCCGACAACATTTTCGAATTATGGCTTTTACAAAAACATTTACCGCCTTGAACCGAAAATAGAACCTCCAAACTTGTTTTTTTCCCTATGGACCGACGCTAAATCCACAAATTAAGGAATTAGAAAGTAAAAAATAAAAATAAGAGAGACAACAAAACAGGAAAGAAAAGGGAAGAACATGGATTTAAAATGGTCAAAAGGACCAGTCAAAGGTCAGAAAGGGACAAATCCGTTGTTTAGTAGTTATCATAAAGTGTCGGACAGTTAATACCGTTGCTTAAAAGTCAAATCCCTCTTTCACATTTTTACTAAATTAATACTTTCAACTTATATTACCCTCTCATCAATCAAACTGTTTTCGTTACAAAGAATCAGTCCAATCGTATTAATTGGAAAGAGTCATGCTTTTATTGAAACTTTTTTTTGGGTCAACAAGTGAAACATTTTTGTTTACCATATTCTCCCAGATACTTAACATACCACACCAGGCATACATCTTCTCCACTACTCAACAGTTCATATTCAAAAAATTTAAGTTAAACTTAAACATGTTTAAAAGATATTGACGAGATAATGTCAATATTAAGGACAATGTTTTTTTATTGTAAATTATTGATCCCTTGAACATATATAGTGAAAATAGTATGATTAGCGCGACCATATATATATTTTACGAGATAAAAAAGGGCAATTTCCGATGAATATATATGAGTATTAATATGTATGTATATAGATGGTACGTAAGGGTTTAATGAAGACAAAGGAGGAAGAAAGAAACTAATTTGTAGGCAAGAAGAGTGGTGGAAAGTATGATGGAGAAGAAGCAAAAAGGACATTCATTTATTTTTATTATTTTTTGTAAATGTTTTGGAGAGTTAATTTTGTCCTTTGTTTTTGGAACATTATCTTACATTCATTTCAATTTCCCAACCTTTCGGCCGTCTCTATACCCCATTTGTTTTTACATTTTATTTATTTTTCTTTTAAAACTTATGATGTTCATATTGAGCGCCTACAATTCAAAATGTTTAGTCGGACCTATATACACCATGTGAATCACAGTTTTTTTGGAACCACATATTTAGACAAATATTTAGAAAAGCATCGACATCAGTTTGCTACAAATATATGGTGGAAAATGTCTTGTAATCGATAATGAATTTTATAGGATTCAGCAAAGGAGCAAACATTGAACATGTTCATGTCCAATGAATGAGGTTTATAAGTCAAAGAGGGTCTACTTGCGCTGACCAGTTACAAAGCTGTGGCCCATAACTCACGGTTTGGCATATTCAACCCTGATTACTTCATTTTTTTCCTAGAGATAGAAACATTTTACGAAACTCCCTAATACTCTTATAAAATATAGTGTATTTATATAGTTGTTACTTTTTATTATAGTTTATCAATATTTTTCTTCAAATTATAGACAAGAGAAATATTCTTGTCTCAATATTATAATTATACTATTAGAGATGTGTCTACATGTTAAGAGCATGTTTACTCATGGATTTTGTTGGGTATCAGCCCAATAAAATATTAAAAAAATTAAATTGGGCCAAAATCGAGTTGAAACGGCTCAGTGGGTAGAGACTTCTGATACGGTTTCATTCGACAGGTGTCAGTCGCTGAGTGGGGGGAAAAAATTAATCAGAGGAAAAAAAAAACATATCCTCATTTATGTCGAAACGTTTCTCTCTCTTCTCTCTTCGAAACGCTACTGATACCCATTGAGTTTCACCAATAAACATACTAATTTAACAAAAATCTTATTGAGTATCATTGATTAAATAATTAATTAATTTAATACTAAAAAAATGCTTGTGATACTCATAGGGTTTTATTGATAAACATGCTCTAAGATGCTTTCATTTATTTGGGCTTTCGGCCGGCTTTGCTTTCTTGTTAGGCTTTCGGTTGTTATAGGAGCTCAACTCCTTTGTACTTTCTGTTTTGCATGCTTCAATTTAAACAAAACTCAAAATATTCCTCATGGCCACTTACGAGATAGTCAAGATTCCATACGAAACACAAAACGAAGTAGAACCATACATAAAACTGAATATAATGTTGTCCCTTGTATCTTTTTCAAATTTTTATTGCTTCACAAGAATCTCTCTATTTTCACTACTAGTATCTTTTCAACTTTTTTTTAATCTCTGCTTTGCATTGTAACTTCCAAATGTTGTCCTTTGGGGAAAGTAAGAAGATGAATAAAAGTATTAATTATCTCAAAAAAAAAGAAAACTGAAAGTAATAGTAGAACTAGAACACACAAAAAGGTAAAAAAGAGAATTCAATGAAAATAAACCGTTAGGCGTCATCTAAACACATTTCTACTTTTAGTACATAATTTCTATTACTTTTAACGTGTTTAATTCCTTGGAGCATTTCCATCGTTCACAAACTCAGTTGGATATTTTAGAAATAAAATAATATTATTTTTATATAATTTTAATTATTTAATTAATTTTTTATTTGTTTGAACTAATCAACATAAGACAATTGTAGAGATGGTATTATTTTATACCCTTTTATTAAAGATGGTATCTGGTGAGTCTCTTCTTATTTTATTAAAGAAAACGTCTCTACCTTCTTCTTCTTCTTCTTTTTTCATTTTTCTAATTTTTTTTTTTTTTTTTTATAACCCAGTATCCAGACCACACATTGATCTGACTAGCCTACTGGGCCTAAGCCCGCGTCACAGGGATTTTTAAGCCGCCACTTAAGGGCCTCCTGATAAACTGGTGGTCTGGGGCGCCTGAGCAAGTCCGCAGGTAAATTCCCAGGTGGCCACAAGAGTGAGAGAGCGAAACTGCGTCTGGAGAGGATCTGGGGAGGATCGATCCCTGGCCTAGACCAACAGGGCGATCCTTCCAACCAAACGAGAACCACTCGCCCACCACCATGTGGTTCTAATTCTTTTTCTTATTTTGATGGATTTCTTTTTCTTATTTTTGATGGAGAGTCTCTAGGTTTACAAATATATCACTACATCTTTCCTCTAGTTATCACAATTTACTAATGATTTAGGATCTCATTTTTTTTGTTGCCTTCTTATTATTATACAAAAAATATTTTAAACTTTTTATGAGACTAATGAGTAATTTCTTTAAGTGGAGCCCCATAAAGTAGGAATCCTACGTAAATGTTTCATGCTAAGGTGTCCAAGACCGGACCCCGATAGTCTATGATCATTGGAAGATTTGTTAAAACTATCACTTTAACTGATTTAATTAAAGTAAACAACGTATATACATAGATATAACAAAATTCGTGTTTTGCTGTGAGAGATTATTGTACTTATGGAAAAAGCTTGGGACGACATTAACGTTTTGTGGCAGCATCATTACCAACAGAACTACGTACGTCTATCGGCAATGGAAGCAAGTGATGCCTTCATCATCATAATTCATAAACTGCTTCCAAAGTGTACCTTTCACGTTTCTGCAAAATAAAAGATTATTGCACGTATAATATCTCTCTAGCTATCTCGACGTCAAATTGTGAATTATATACGAATAAGGTATCTTTATGAATTTGAAAAATAGTTTTATGAAATTTGCCGAGACATTTCAATGTTTTGAAAATTTGTAGCTGCAAAATTTCGAATGATTTTTGTGAGGATATTTCGATGTTTTGATTGATTTGGATGAAGAAATTACCTCCAAATTATCACATATTTTAACACTTATAATGTAAAAACTTTTTTAATGCAAAATCATTTGTATCCATACGTACGTACCATCTAAATTCATATAATGTTTTGGCCCAAACGAACATCATATAATACATTTGCGAAGTGTCATGTAAACAGCATCCAAGTCATAACTCTGAATATACTATTTCATAGGAGATAGACCAATTGAACAAGTTTTACACCTAAATGGACCAAATGCAGAAAAGCCCATGCTCCTAGTATTCAATCGCAATTACATTCTATCCAAGACCGGAGAGTTTTGATATTAAGGTCCATTACATTCAACATTTGGGCTTTGTGCGAACCCAAATTGGAACCAGCTGAACGCAATTTGATCAATGGTACGGCTCACGGCTGAACGCAAGAAATTATCTCTTTACGAAGGAACTAACTGGCAAGATAATGTTCATTCCACATCAAATTGTGTTGTGTTTGGTTTGGTTTTAGACAATTTGAGTGCTTAACCGGTTTTCAAGTGTGTTCATCATATTCATTCATTTGAGCAGAGGATATTAGGAATGTGGCCTAACTTAACCCAAAAACTAGCTCAAGAGTTAAGGGTTGCCGCATCCTATATACATTGTCCAAAGATCTTAATCCCAAGCAATGTGGGACATTCTAATAGGCCTTCTCGAGATGTGGGTGGGAAACGGTCCAACGGAAAACAGTCCAAAACCCAACATCTCGGAAATACAACAAGACATACCACTTATATGGACCACATAGGTGGGAAACTATTTGTGTAGGAATTTGCTTGTTGGGCCAACCTTGGGCTTTGATACCATAATAGGAATGTGGCCTAACTTAACCCAAAAGCTAGCTCAAGAGTTAAGGGTTGCCACATCCTATATACATTGTCCAAAGATCTTAATCCCAAGCAATGTGGGACATTCTAGCAGAGGATCAAATAAACAGAGAAGTATTACGAAGACCACGAAATAGAGAGAAAAAAAATTGAATCAAACCAAAGCGAAGCAGTCAATGGCAGCATTCAGACAGACAAGAACATGGTCTTCTCTACTTTTATCTTAATTATACGTTTCTCAAAAAAAAAAAGACCATTCCTTTACGACCTTCGTACATCCAAAGGCAACAAACATAGGCGAAGCTAAGAGCTTAGTACCGTCCGAAACTGCCATCATCTCACAAACCCTCTTTGCTTCGAAGCGCCTGTTACAATTTCACAACTCGATAAATCAGTCATCAAGTTGTTAGTGCGAAAAGCCAATTTATAAGTACAATGGTTAAATCATACATACCCTCCAGAATATGCGTTTTTGAGAATAGGAAGTCATAGATTGGTGCTCAAAATTGGCGCCTTGGAGGCCTAGCCTCAGCTTCCGAGACTCTAATTTGTCTGCCGTCCAAATCCTATAGGCCACAAGTAAAAGTATATCAAGAGTTGTTTGATTTGATCACAATGTAAGTGTATATTGGTATGAGTATGAGTAAAAGATACTTACAGCACCATTCAAGGAATTGATGGCATTTTGGACCTCTTGGGAAGAGTTGTATGTCACAAACCCAAAACCCTTGGATCGACCACTGTCCCTGTCGTAGATGACTCTAGCCTCAACAACCTTTCCTTGTTCCGCGAACAAACTCTCAAGAGCCATGTCATCAACTCCCCAAGAAAGGTTGCCAACATAAACTCGGTTTCCTGAACCAGCACCAGAACCACCACCTCCTCCATATCCAGAACCTGAGCTTCCAAAGCTGCTTCTAGGTCCCCTGGAGAAACCATCTTCCCTCTTTGGTGGAGGAGGACCAGCATTAACTCTCAAAGGTCTACCATCCAACTCCTACAAAATCATATCAAAATGTTTTTAACTAAAGAAACAAGAATCTTATGCAATAAGAACAACAACACAGAGGTCCAAGTTATATCTTTAGAAGCCACAAGTTTAAAGATTGCATTCACCGAAGAAAATTTTTTACTTTCCAAAACACTAAAACACAGCTTATCACAGAAACATAGAGCAACATAAACACATTAAGTAAACACCAAAACACAAACGCATAACAACAAGACAAGATAAAGCAATTCCTCAGAGAGTTCATATACAACAATCGAAGATTACAGTAAGGCAAATAAGTATCTTCTTACATAGCCATTGAACTGATTAGCAGCTGCCTCAACTTCAGAAACTGAAGACATAGTCACGAATCCAAAACCTCTGCTTCTTCCTGTCACTTTGTCATAGATTACCTAACAAGACAAAGAATCAAAAACGATTACAACACAAGATTAAGGCATTTTCGTATTAGAATCAATCATCAATAGAAACCCTAAAGAACAGTACTTTCTTCTATATCTCACAAATTCGATAAAACCCTTAATTCATACCTCAACCATCTCAACATTTCCAGCGCTCTCGAAGAGCTGAGCGAGCTGAGCACTGTCGACATTAAAGGGAAGGTTGCCAACGAAGAGTTTGAGGTCAGCAGAGAAAGATTGCTGTTGTGGCGCCGCGTCATCCGCGAAACCGTCTTCTTCCACCTCGAACTCTGAGGTAATTGCAACGTTACGGACGAAGCGAGAAGCGGGAGAGTTCCATTTGGCGGCGATGGAGAAGGAAACGGAGTCGGAATTGAGTTTAAAGGAGAGGGAAGGAGGTAAGAGGGAAACGGAGGCTGGTCTGGAGACGCAGAAAGGAAGAGATTTAGGGTTGAAGGAAGAGAGAGCGAGAGACGAAGCTGAAGCAGCCATGGGAAGAGAAGAGATAAGGTTTCTAACTTTCTAGGGGTTTTTGGGTGAAGAAGATTTGAGAGTGGAGATAAGATGGTGAGTGTTTGATATTTATGGGCAAATGAAAAATATATTTAGCTCTTGCATAAATATCTCAAAACTAATTTTATTTTGTAATTTTACCTCAAAACTTTCTGTTTTTTTTTTTTTTTTTTTGCAATAATTGTATTTTCTCAAAATTCAGCAACATATATAAAAATGATATTTCTTTGAAATGTACTCACTAAAATAGTTAGACATAAATTATGGGAATTTCTTTTATTTTTCTTTTTTTTTATCAATATAAAAAGTTTAATACTACATGTTACAAATTATTTCGTATTATATTTTTGTATGCATATGTTAAAAAATAAATAGCATGCTTTTTGTTTACTTTTCCAAATAATTTTTGTAATAAAGTAGAATATGTGAATTTTTATGACTTAAATTAGTTGTGTTTGGTTGTGGTTGGTTTAATTGGGACAGCTACTAAACTACTTGTCATAATATGAAGTATGATGGATGAGATGAGATCTGGACCGTCGAATTATGGATGGACAGTGGAGATGGCACGTCTAGTGGTAAGGCAAAAAAAATCTATGAGAAGATAAGATATTTTTTACTAAAAGCCAATGGAAGAAGATGCAACTCTTTGTTCCAGCCAAAAAAAAAACTGAAAACTCTCTTCGAAAAATTTTACGTATTTAACGTTTTCAAGTGGTTAAAAAACTAAATCAGAAAACGATACAATTCCTACCAAAAAAAACACAGAGTGATCATACAAACGCATCCTTCAAAACAAGTTTCAAAAAAGGATTTATTTTGAGAAAGATAATTGAACCAACAATAAAAGGAGAAAGAATCACTTGTTAAGAAGTTTCTATAGAGAAGCAGTGTTTTGTTTCTTGATTCCTTGTCCCTTCTTGATCATTCTAGAAAGAACATCAGCTTGCTTTGTGTTTCCTTCTTGGTTCAAGCTCTTGATCAGTTCATCAGAGCTCTTCCAATCTGTTGAACTTCCTTTCTCCATGATCTTACACAGAACCGAGTACGCATTCAGAGTCTTCCCGGCTCCTAAAAGCGCATCCAACACTTTGTCGTAGCTCGAAAAATCTAAGCTGAGATCCCTCTCCAACCCGAAATCTAACAGCTTCAATGCTGCAATCGTCTTCCCTTTCTCGCTTAAGACAGATAACAGGCTGTCCAGATCAGCTGTGTGTCCGTTTTGGTTCAGAAGATCTATACGCCCCAGGGCTTCTTCTACGTGTCCTCTCATTAAGAGAGCTTCCAAGATCTTGGCAATCAAATCCATGTTGTCTTCGATACCAACGTTTTTATCTATCATGATCATCATCACACGGCTTGCTGTCTGCACCCTACCATCCTCAAACAAACTCTCAATTACTGACCTGAAAAGGGCTGAATCTGGGACATGCCCGTCTTCGACCATGCTGTCCAGTGCGGTTTTCGCGTCTCCAGGCTCACCTTTGCTCATGTAGCTCTTGATGAGCAGCTCGTATGCGTTTGCTTCTCTAGGGACACCTCTCCTCGACATGATCTTCAGAATCTCGTAACTAGACTCTGGGTTTCCTTCCTTTGCATGGCCACGGATTAGATTGTTTAAGGCATCTTGGTCTTGGACACCTCTTTTCATCAGCTGCCTGAAAAGCACTTCTGCTTTTGCCGTTTGGCCATTGTTGCACAAATACTCGATGATTGGGTTGTATGCACTGGGCTCCATTTCCAGAGTATCCTGATGTCTCAAAATGATTTCTTTCTCAATAAGCGTATCTAAAAGCTTGATAGCACGATTGTATGCACTAGCCTTGCATTGATTCTCGATCAAGACCCCATAGTGTCCCGCTTCTGCTGGAACGTTCAGTGTAGCCATGGCTTTGAGCACCTCAGTGGCTGCCGCCATATCCCCTGCTTTACTCTGCGAAACCAAAAGCTTAAGGAAGATCGAGTTATCTTTTGGAGCAATGTGTTTGGCCATCATATTCTTCAAAATATTCTTAGCTTCCACCATTTTCCCAACATCACACAGACCTGGCAACAATGTAGAATAAGTCGTAGCATTGGGCTCAATACCAAAAGATCTCATCTCCTCAAAGATTCTCAACCCATCATCAACTCGGTCAACTGAAAGATATCCTTTAATCATCGTGGTGTAAGTCACAACACTAGGCTCACTATTATTCCCTTTCATCTCCACAAATAACTTCTCTGCCTCATCCATCTTCTTAAACCGGCAGTACCCATTGATAATAGTATTGTATGTAACAGCATCCGGCGAGATCCCACGAGTTTTCATATCATCAAAAAACCTCAAAGCAGTCTCAAGCCTCAAAGACAAAAAGAACCCCCACAGCATTAGATTATAAGTATGCCTAGTTGGCTCAACACCCTCACTAACCATCTTATTGAAATACCGTTTCGCCATCATATACCTACCACGCCTCAAAATCACCTTAAACAAAGTATTATACGACTTAATCGTCCTCTCCACACCCAAATCCTTCATCTTCTGAAAGATTTTAACAGACTCTTGAACAATACCAGCTTTGCCATAACTCTCAATAAGCACCACAAACATATCCTCATCCCAAGGAACACCCTTTTCAGGCATATCCAATAAAATACACCGAGCATGATTAAGCTTCTGAACCTCTCCAAGCATCTTAATCATTTTCATATGAGTATCTCTATCATGACGAATCAATCCAGATCTCTCCGTCCACCGGAAAAACTGAAGAGCGTGCTCAAGCTTCTTAGCACCGTGCAATACATTATACACTAAAGAATGATCCCATTCAGGTACAAGATCTCGGATCGAGTTCTGTAAACGTGTCGTCCAAGCACGATTATCCATCATTCTACAAATTGTATCCTCAAGCTTTTCATGGTTTTGACGCTTACCTCGTTGGAATCTCTCTCTGAGTGGCCTCGTCTCTGTAGAACCCAGATTCTTCGTCTCGGGTTTCGCATCTGGAGATTGGGTTTCTGGGTTTGCGTCGCCTGAAGTTTGGGTTTCTTCGATTGAGCTGAATAAACGAGGGAATGAGAAGAAAGACGAGTCTGAGGATCTGGGAAGCGAGAGATAAACCCTAGCTCTCGATTGATAGGGTTTAGATCTGGAAATGAAAGCCATTACAGGAAATGGAATCTTCGTTTGTAGAAATCTTTCTGAAAATTTTCAATTCGACATTGAGGGAGCTACACGAAGGAAGCAAGAAGGAAGCAAGAGTTGTTAGTGATGATGAGTAGGGTTTTAGGGAAGAAGAAATGCAGTCGTGGATCCAAGATCTTGTTCCGGGTCGGGTATTTCCTGAACTTTAACCCGGCCTGTTAAGCGTTACTATCCAGCCCGGTTTTTGTGCATAACAGATGGGCCTATTACTAACCCGGCCTGTTAACCTACAAAAAAATGATAGGAAAGCTGACATATTTTGTTGGACTTGAAGATATTAATTTATCTTTTGTGTGTTTTAATTAATTTAAGCATGGAATTATCATGTGTGGTGTTATCACTAATGGAGTAAGCAAACTTTAATTAAAGTTTTATTGTATAACATAACAGTTAACACTGTGTGTTTAAACTTATTTGCGCTCACATAAATTATCATTTGCCTATTATTATATATACTAGTTACATTATTAATTGCATGTGTATATACGAATTATTATTATATATGTTTACCTACTACCACGTATGACAAAATTTCATCAAATTTGGTTTTGGTTACCTACCACTCACGCATATATGTAGCATTGCCGCAATTGTTGATTTATATCACCTCCCACTCTCCCACTAATAATGTGCCCTAGTGAACAGTCGATCACCAACTCCGGCACTATTTCCGACAACATGGTACTTGAGAGAGACCAAGACATACCGTCTTCACACATACCCGTGGTTGACTTAAGCAGTCCCGATCAAGAGCTAGTAGCGCGTGCGGTGGTGAAGGCGAGCGAATAGTGGGGAGTTTGAAGAGTGGGGAGTTTTTCAGGTGGTCAATCGCGGGATTCCCACGAAAGTGATACAACGTTTGCAAAATGTTGGTAGGCAATTCTTCGAGCTTCTCGAAGTGGAGAAGAATGCCGTGGCGAAACCAGATGATTCACGTGAAGGATACGCGAGGAGGTACGAGTTAGATCTAGAAAGAAAAACAGGTACGGTCGATCAACTATTTCACGATATCTAGCCACCGTCGTCAGTGAACTACAAATACTGGCCTAAGAATCCTCTAGATTACAGGTACTTTCAAATCTAATCAATCCATTCATTATATATCAATTGTGTTGAGAAAAGATCTCATTTTATGAGCTATGAGCTAGTCAGAAGCATGCATCATACGGGCTGCGGTATTCACATACGGGCTGCAGCGTTCCAGGAGCCGACACGTGGAGTGCTATTTGGCCGTCCACGTGGCTAGTCTGACGCAAACCGATAGTCTAACACGTGAAATCCTGCTCTGTCGGGTATCTGATAGCTAACACGTGGACCCTTGCCCGGTTATAAAAAAAAAAAAAAAAAAAGAAGCATGCATCATATGTTTTTGAGAAGGGCATTTGCCCAATGCCACAAGAAACCACAGAATTTATAAGGCCACAATTTAGAAAAAAAAACTAGGCTTACGTATTTAGTTTAAAATGTGTTTGAGCACTTTATTTTAAAAGTACATGATAATATGATTTTAATTCTTATTTTATGAAAAATTCTCCGATTGCCTAATATATTTTTATAAATAAGGTACAATTATTAATGAAATAAATGCGATATTTTTGAACTAAAAGTTCTAAAATAATTTTTGCCACTAATGGAAGTGTTTAGTTTTCGTAAACAATGGAAGTTTGTTATTCAAACTCTTGAATCGATTATCGGATATTGCTTAGGATTCCGATTTTAGTTGCTTATGCAGGAAGAAAATTTTAAAAGTTGAAATTGATAGTCTTACTTTCTAGCAACTATATCACAAAACAGGTTGAAATAATGTATCACAACTATGTCAATTTGATGTATGATTTATTAGAAAAAGGGAAAAAAAAATTCTAAAAAGGACCACATTTTTTATTCGCCATAGCCTATGTGAGCCAAAGCACTGACACTTGAGCTAATATGTAAAAGTACGTATGAATTCACTGTTGTTAACTGATTTCATATTTTTGGTTCAGGGAAGCAAATGAGGAATACACAAAGCATGTGAAGATGCTAGATTATGGAGTGGTTATCAGAGGGGTTAGGATTATGGGGTGAGGCTATTAAGGAAGTTATGGGCGGTGAGTATATGATGATTGTCAACTACTATCCGCCGTGTCCACATTCCGATTTGATCGAGGGATTGGATCCACACACAGATGTTAGTGGGCTCACACTTATCCTACCCAATGAGATTCCTGGACTTCAAGTGTTCAAGGACGATGACTGGTTCGACCTCGAGAATATCCCATCTGCTGTTATAGTCATCATCGGCGATCAGATCCAAGTATTTTTTTCATTGAATGTGTTTATATCATAAAGTTGTGAATTATATATATCCTTTTTAATTAGTTGTAACGGATTTGTAGAGGCTGAGCAATGGAAGGTACAACTTATAAAACGATAGTGGATAAGGAGAGAACAAGAATGTCTTGGCCGGTTCTTGTGAGGCCTACCAACGATATGGTCGTCGGACCTTTCCCAGAGATTATCGGCCACGACAATCCTCCCAAGTTTAAGCACATCGCCTACAAGGACTACATATATCGCAAGGTCCGCCACTTATCCTTGGCTGATCTCGACTCATAATGATCATCAAAAATCAAGAAGGCAATGCTCATCAATTGCTTCCTCGTTGAAGTGACTAGCCTTTTTTTCTTTTTATTTTTCGGTCTACCACTTGTCTTTTTTCTTTCCCTACGTACATATTTCTCTAATGTGGTCGTTATGGTTATGGTAATGGTGTTTTATGGTTTTAAGATGAGTACCGGGCATAGCACAGTGTTACTGTTTTTTAAAATCTACTTTTCGATTGCGATTCCTTCAAGCGCAACACGCTTTTAGGATCTCTTCAACAGGCGGGTCATCACCAGCTTCTTTGTCCTGAAATCCGCAAACAAAAGAGTTGAAAATGACAATGTGTTTGAAAAGATATCGGAATATCAGGTTCGCAAAGTTGAGGCTAGGTTCACAATCAGTATTCGACGATGAGATTACCTTGCGTATGTAAGAGATGTTATCTTTTCCAGGGCCAGCAACTAGGATTCCGCCTTGTTGCCTACACATCCGAGACAATTGTTAATGAAATCGGAAAGTTATTGCATCTCTAACAAGAAGAAATGACTAATATACTCTTTAACCTACCAGCCACCTCTTTCTACAGTATCTTTCATAAACGAGAGTTTCCAGTCTTGGCGGTATCCTTCCATGTAAGACTCTAATATCTTCATAGCGGCCTAGAATAATACCACAGAAGCTACTGAGACTGAGAGACCACAAAGGCATAACATTTCTCGTTACCTAATTGATATGCTAATTGCTAAGTAGAAGTCACTTTACTTTGGGGGTAAATGTCACAGTAACCCCTGAAACAAATTCAAGCGCCTCGTATGATGCGTGGTTTGGATCTGCATAGACCTCTGAGAGAAATTTGATTACAGATTATTAGATCGTCTCATAAAAATAATTCACCTGTCTTTCGTTTTTTTGGCAAGTAAATGAGAAACATACCTCCTTTAAACTTAGTCTGCTCCATAAAAGTGTTAGCCTGTATAGATGGTTACAACCTGAGAATCAGCAGCTGAGAACTGTTTTAGAGAATTGTATTTTCCAAAATGTGTTACCTGATCAATACTTCCCGGTCCGATCAGAACAAGAGTAACACCAGATGCATCCATCACATCCTAACAAAAATCTCAAATGTATCACTCAATGACTTCAACTGTATAAATGGCCAGTCTTTTTCAAACCAACAACAATCTATTACCTTCTTTTCTGCAAGATAAGCTGCTCGTTTCCGACAGAGCACGCAACTGAAAACATAACAAATTAACATCCAAATATCTTTGATAGTTACAAAGTAATTAACCAGAACCATAAAATCTAATGAGAAAATCAAATAATTAATCACCCAAAATGACGAGCAAATGCAACAACAGCCTTCCTATCTTTCCATAAATCAGAAATTGGAATCTCATTTCCTCTCAAATCCAGAATTTTCACTGTATCTAGCAAATCAGCTGTATCTTTCCCAATTCCAGTTCCTGTGAAAAATCAATATAATCTAGTAAGTAGTCTAGATTATACAAATTACGTATATAATATAAAGAGAAGACACTTAAGCTCACCTGAAGCTCCTCCGGTAATGGCCGACACGACCACGGCGCTACGCCGGAGAGAGACACTACGAAAGCGAGATTTGATCGAATAAAAAGGAGATACTGTCCCTAATCCATGAATCGTCTTCAGATTCGGCTGCAGAGTTATGGGCGTGATCGTCGACGACGACGACAGAGAAACCGCCATTGTTGCTTCCTGGAGCAAGCTAGAAAAAAAATAAAATAAAAATCCCAATTTTAATCGATTCTCAGACCGTTAACAAACTCGTGGAGTTGGGTTGTTACACGTGTCGGATGACGTAAACAAGATCTCAGAGAAAAAGTCATCTGCCACGTCAGTTCACTTTAAGGGCAAAATGGGAAAAGAATCTAAAGATCCTTTTAAAAAGCTAATGGTCGGGCACGTTCTTGTTTAGGGTAAAGCTCAAAGCTCAAGCCGCTTCTATCTCTCTACATTTCTCTTTCTGCAATGGCGAGAATAGTGCGTGTGGCTAGATCCTCCTCCCTCTTTGGCTTTGGAAACCGTTTCTACTCCACCTCCGCCGAAGCTAGCCATGCGTCGTCTCCTTCGCCGTTTCTTCACGGCGGCGGAGCTCGCAGGGATGTTGCCAAGGATAGGAATGTCCAGTGGGTGTTTTTGGGGTGTCCTGGTGTCGGAAAAGGAACTTACGCTAGTAGACTGTCGACCCTTCTCGGCGTTCCTCATATCGCCACCGGCGATCTCGTCCGTGAGGAACTTGCTTCGTCTGGACCTCTCTCTCAAAAGGTGCGACCTTTTTTGATCTTTCCCAATTCTGTTGCTGCGATTGAGATTGAGATTCTCTTCTTACTTCGATTTTAGATCCAAATAGTCTAAACTTGGTTTTTAGCTTATCGGGCTTCCTTTTTATATCGTCGATTGGATCTGAAAATTTCCGTGTAGCTCTCGATAGATCTAGTGAACTAAGTCCATTGTAAAGTGTTTCTAACTACATTTGATCAGTATCATAACGGATCTATTCGCATAAATTAAAGTCAGTGGCTTTGTTTTGATTTGTTATAAAATCTCTTGTAATGGTTATATAGATGTTATTCTAAGTTTACTGTTACTTGATGCAGCTATCGGAGATTGTAAACCAGGGAAAATTGGTTTCTGATGAGATTATAGTAGACCTATTGTCCAAGAGACTTGAGGCTGGTGAAGCCAAAGGTGAATCAGGGTTTATTCTTGATGGCTTTCCTCGTACCATGAGACAAGCTGTAAGTATCATTCGTTTTTACATCGTTTGGCATATTAAGTTAATTTCCATCAACATTTCTAACATTGGATTGCCTTTTGCTTCAGGAAATACTGGGAGATGTAACTGACATTGATTTGGTAGTGAATTTGAAGCTACCTGAGGAAGTTTTGGTTGACAAATGCCTCGGGAGGAGAACTTGTAGCCAATGTGGTAAGGGTTTCAATATCGCTCACATCAACTTAAAGGGTGAGAATGGAAAACCTGGAATTAGCATGGATCCACTTCTCCCTCCACCTCACTGTATGTCAAAGCTTATCACTCGAGCTGATGATACTGAAGAGGTGGTGAAAGCAAGGCTTCGTATATACAATGAAACGGTAAGCCCCTCTCTGGTGTCCTTTTCCATTGCTAGTGTCTAACCATCTAGTAGATGAACTATCTCATGTGTTGATTTGTGTTTTTTCTTCCTTTTCTATATGCAGAGCCAACCTCTTGAAGAATACTACCGTAGCAAGGGAAAGCTTATGGAGTTTGACTTACCTGGAGGCATCCCAGAGTCATGGCCAAGGCTACTGGAAGCTTTAAGGCTTGACGATTACGAAGAGAAGCAGTCTGCTGTGGCATAGTTCACAATCAAATCCCGGTATTTAAATTCTTTGCATGTGGAAGACATATGCCTAATCAATTTTGTGTTGGAAATAAAAGTAAAGAAAAAAACCTTAGATTGTTTTCACCTCAATAGAAATAATCATACACACTTGCAAACTATTATTTTTCCATGAACCGAGACCGAGGTTTCGGCTCCATAAGAGAAATATGCTGTATCATGATGGTTTGAGTTTGCTAGCGAGCAGTGACATTACAGGAATGTATGAATACTTCTACACTACTTGATATGCATTGGGTTTGATCTTTATGCTCTTGTGATATATTTGTTGGAGAATATGATGAAATTGCGGCTGGCCGAGCTGGCTGGTTAAAGAACTCTACCAGACAGTAAAGTAAAACAGCCGCATAGATCAAATGGGAACTTATAACCAGCTCTTGACTGTCCTAGAATTGGCGGTGCGGGATAGAATTGTTCCTTACATTTTGGGAAAGATGCTCATTTATCGGACATTGTGTATTACTTGCTCTGTTCCTGTATGTGATCAAAACGTAGCTTCTGTTTTACGTTTGTTCTCTGAGAAATTTGTGGTTTTTTAAAAAAAAATTCTTCCGCCCGGAGTATGGATGGTGAAATCAGATTCAATTGAAAGGCGAACCGGACTCGGCCCATAGCAATTTAAATCACAGTGACAAACGTTTACTTTTACTGAGAGATGAAAGCTGTAATGTAGTTGGTTTTTTGACGCTAACCGGAATCAAACTCCTATCACTGAGAGGGTTTGATAACTCGATGAAAGAAAATTATTTTCATGAACGAAATATTGTGAAAACTTTAAAGATTTGATTACAGAAAACATCTAATGCTAAATTATTGAGGAATCACAAGACAAGGAAAAGAAGTAGAGCTGAGAGTTAATAAGAAAAGAATTTCTTCACAAAAACTAAAACTCGTACAAAATTTAAAACATTGATTAAGCTTCAACAATCTTCTTAACTAACCTAACATATTAGTTAGACCATTAATAATGTCAACTCCAATATTTGTTGAAACTCCAATAATGTTAAAAAAATTCCAAGCTAACAAAGTAACTACTGATAGGTTTAATAACTATTTTTGTTAAATGATCATTGGGTAGTGGTATTTAATGATATTTTATTAACTGACGTAGTGAATTTTTTAGTACAAGATGACTGAAATTTCCTCATTTCTGATCTAAAGAGGTGAAACCGAAATTAACCGGGTTCAATTTGGTTCGGTGAAGTACAAATAAAATTCAGTTGGTACGGTTTAGTTCACGTGTTTACTTCGGACAGAACAAGCTCGTGCGCGTGTCAACAACCAAATAAGTTTTGTCATTGGTCGCTGTAGGATTCAACTAAAAACGAAACGACACCGTTCCATTTGGCCGCGTTTTCCAACTAACTTTCAACTTCAACTAACGTTCAACGAGAGACTAATCCGTCTCCTCTATCTCTCTTTTCTTTTTCATCGGCTTCTTCATCACTATAGTCACTAAACGGACCTTGGTTTCATCCAACGTTCCCTATAGTGACACGTGTATTCATTACAGTGTCGGCCAAACTCCAAAGCTCAACGAACTCATACGAAGGGATACATCATCATCGCTCAATAATCACTAACCGGATCCGGATAAGTTCGGATCCATCAGACTTTCTTCGTTCCTAACTCCTAAAAAGGGGTTTGAGTTTCCTCAATCCTTTTCACAACTTCAGTTTTTGCATTCACCGTGAGTGTTCTACTTTTGATCTATCTTTTGGTATGATTCACTAGTCAAGTTTCTTTCTTTATGCTATAATTTGCAACTACTTTTCATGCTTTATAGATCGAGAGATCTTGTACGATGGAATTGATGTTTCTCCAATCATTTTTGTTTGATCTTGTTCCCCCTTTTCTTTTCCTAAATTGGGCAAATGAGTTTTGTCATTTATAGATAACGAGTTGGTCTTTACCTACAGAATCTGATAAATATATCTCTTACGTAATTGATTAAGGTCAAGTAATGGAGGTGAAGGATGGTGAAAGAGTGGTAATAGCAAAACCGGTGGCCTCAAGGCCTTCTTCAAGCCCTAGCTTCAGGACATTCACTGAGCTTCTCACTGATTCAGTTACTGTATCTCCCCAATCAAATTGTCACGCGATTGTAGACGCTGCTATAAGACCAAAGACTTTGAGGTTCAACCAGCCAGTTGCAGCTTCGGTCTCATGTCCACGGGTATCAAGTTGTCTCTTTCTTGGCATTGTTATCTTATTGCGCATTGTATTCTTGACTCAACTCTTTCTCATAATGTTAGGCTGAAGGAAATGGTATTGGAAATGAAAAGTCTTGTGATGATTCAAATAGCAGAAACTATGTCGTTTATAAACCGAAAGCAAAGCTTGTCTCCAAAGCAACTGTCTCTGCATTGGCTAATATGGTAAGTTGTTTCAAACCTAAAAGATCACTGATTACGGATTTTCGGGAGTCGTTTTAACACTCGTTTTTTTCTTTAGCTTCAGGGGAATCGGCAACAGACTTGGAGACAAACCGAAGCATTATCCTATGGGAAGAGTGTGAGCCAAGGTACACATCGAGCGGATCCTAATCTAGTCCAGAAAGTTCCATCCTTTACGGAATCAGAGACATCGATTGGTGACAGATCTTCAGTGGACGGATACAACTGGAGGAAATACGGACAGAAGCAAGTTAAAGGAAGTGAGTGTCCAAGGAGTTACTACAAATGCACACACCCAAAATGTCCAGTGAAGAAGAAAGTAGAGAGATCAGTGGAAGGTCAAGTTTCAGAGATTGTATATCAAGGTGAACATAATCATTCAAAGCCTTCTTGTCCACTTCCACGGCGCGCTTCGTCATCAATCTCTTCAGGGTTTCAGAAACCACCAAAAGGGATTGCTTCTGAAGGATCAATGGGACAAGACTCTAACAATAATCTCTATTGTCCTGTTTGGAACAATCAAGGCAATGACTCTACTAAAAACAGAACAGAAAAGATGAATGAGGGATGTGTTATTACACCATTCGAGTTTGCTGTTCCAAGATCGACAAATTCAAATCCCGGAACTTCGGATTCCGGCAAGAGTAGCCAATGTGATGAAGGAGAGCTTGATGATCAAAGCAGAAGCAAAAGAAGGTAACATTGTTTCAAACTCTAAATTTATCCGTTTGTGTTTACATTGCTTGTATTGACTTTGGTTTTGACAACAGGAAGAACGAGAAGCAATCTAGTGAAGCAGGAGTATCGCAAGGCTCGGTGGAATCAGACAGTCTTGAAGATGGATTCAGGTGGAGAAAGTATGGACAAAAAGTGGTCGGAGGCAATGCGTATCCAAGAAGTTATTACAGATGCACAAGTGCTAATTGCAGAGCAAGGAAACATGTTGAGAGAGCGAGTGATGATCCAAGAGCTTTCATTACAACCTACGAGGGTAAACATAATCATCATTTGCTCTTGAGCCCTCCAACTTCCTCTACTCTTCCCTTTAACTCACCACAGCTTTCTAAGTAAACCATTTGATTTGATGATCCATTCATGCTTTTTCTTTTTTCTTTTTCTTTTTTGTTAAGAATGAGAAAAAAGAAGAAGCAAATGGTAAATACAATCACCATTTTCTCTTCACTCTTCCAACTTCCACTACTCTTTCATTTAGCTCCCCACAACTTTCTAAGCAGACCATTTAGCTTTTTCCTTCAATTTTTATACCACATTAATTAATTAATCGTGTGAATTTTATTTTATTTACATTCAGATTGTAAGGACAAGAAGATTGATGTTATTTTAATAAAACCAAACAAAAAAGTGTGTTATATTTTTTTTGGTGTAAGTGTAACTCTCTATATGTTTAATTGATTTGACTTGAGAAATTTGATTTCATTGGAACATTTTTTTTGTTCATTTTGCTAAACATAATGCACTTTTCCATTGATGTAACTCAATTGCATTGATGGTTTATCGAAATCCACTAGATCTCGTAACCATGTTGGTATCGTACTACTTTCCAAGGAACTGAAGAGAAACTCATAAGCTTGACGAGCTAATCTATCCGCTACTTGATTACATTTTTGCGGCCTGAATTGAAGGGAGAAAGAATCAAATGTTGGGATCACACCTTGTATATCTTGTCGGTAGGATTGAAAGGCGGGTCATGTTTCGGAATTGAGAAGCCCTTTTACCACCTCACTTGAGTCTGATTCATAACATTCTCATAGCCATGCGGGCATAGACACATGATTGGCCATCCAGAAATGCTACCAAAAGCAGTGTCATTGGACCACTAGTAAAGCAGCAACGGATTTGAGTAATATTCCAATCTCCACGGCAGTTCTCCTTAAGGTATGGTCACCATAGAGCTCAATTCCTTTAAATGCAGTGTAGATGGTGTTTGGAAGATTCACAGGCAAATTAGTTGTGTTCTCATAAATTCAAAATCGGTCATCTGAAAATGTATCATGGCACCATTTGCACCTTTTACTTTGGAGAGTAGCAGCAAACTGGAGACTAAAACTCTTGTAGATGGATACCATAAGACTACCATAATTTTAGAACATTGAACTGAAACATATATAGATGAAATAATTTTAAGTATGAAACCATTTAATTGATCAAGATCCCAAGTCGATTAAAAGCGTCAAAACTTCATTAAAGATAGAGAGATCATCTGAAACATATCCAAAGCTAATGGAAACAACACAAAAACTCTTTTGATATAATGCAAACTTAAAGGAAAGGAAGATTCCTTAACGATTGGCCTTAGCAACTCTCTCAATCTCATCTTTCTTCTTGATGGCATAGCTGCAAGACAAGAGAAGATACTATTATTAGCTAACTAACAAACTCGAATGTGAAGCCATCAAGAGACAGACTATGTAGATAGGGTGTTTTTACCTGTTGGAAGATCCCTTTGCAGCATTGATGAGTTCATCAGCAAGGCACTCAGCGATTGTCTTGATGTTTCTAAAGGCAGCTTCACGTGCACCAGTGGTGAGTAAGAAGATTGCTTGGTTCACACGTCTTAGAGGAGAGATATCAACGGCCTGCCTCCTAACCACACCAGCAGATCCAATTCTAGTAGCATCTTCACGAGGACCACTAATTCACACAAAAAACAAACCCTCTTAATTAGATTCAGTTCATAGTAGCACACAAGAAAGATACGGGTTTCAGTATCGCAATCTCAATTCACCTGTTAACAATGGCATCAATGATAACTTGAATCGGGTTCAAGTCAGACAAGAGGTGGATGATCTCCATGGCATGTTTGACGATCCTGACAGCCATCAACTTCTTACCGTTGTTCCTCCCGTGCATCATGAGAGAGTTAGTGAGCCTCTCAACAATTGGACATTGAGCCTTTCTGAACCTCTTCACAGAGTATCTCCCAGCAGTGTGAGGAACAAAAGTTGCGTGCTTCGCTGGCTGAACACCAATATAGTCCACAAGACTAATATCTGTGACCTACATACACCAATACACAGATCAACAAACAAATATTAGCCTCTATCATTTGAAACACAAAAAAAAGACATGGACTTTAATGTCAAATTAGTGTTATAATCAACAAACACAACATGGGTTTTAGTAATGATGGATAAAGATTGCAATAGCTAAATCTAATAAGTGAGGACTATAATTTGATCTAATTCATACAATGATGCTAATGTAACTTCTCATATCATAATAAACCAATCATTTCAATGCCTATCACATATCAAGAGACAGACCCATTTCGATTACAGCTAAATCTAGTAAGTGAACTGACGAAAATAAGGATTAGATCCCAGAAAATTGCAAGCGAGCAGATTCGATAGAACAGAACCAAAGAGTAGCAGACAATATAACCTTTAAGAGTTCAAAGAGAGATGGATTGGTGAGGAAATTACCGACACGTCATCAAAGCTCCAACGGTTGAAGAGCTTAACCTCATTGGTAAGCTGCTGCTGAATCTCGGCGTCGATTTCTACGGAGGTGGCCATGACTGGAGGATCAGTAGAAGATTAGCAAAGTAGGGATCTTTGGCTGCGGCTTGAAGAAGAAGAAGAGGAGGAAGCTCAGACCAAGAAGGCAAGAAGAATAAACCCTAAAAATGAGCGATAGTAATGTTCTGTTTATAAAATGGGTTTTATTGGGCCTTGATGTGCTCTCATTTTGGGCTTTTGGGCTTTTGTTTTACTTTAGTGTCTTTCACATTTGCCATTTGGTTAGGAAGAGTTTTTTTTTCGAAAATACTTTAATTACATCTAGAAGATAGATTGGTTTTGATTTCGTTCTATTGTCCGTTCATGAGAGCAGAAAGCCAAACAATTTTTTTTCTTTTTTGAACACTTTGATTTGGTGCAGAACGAAATATTCATGTTGAATTACAGAGGAAATCAAAGGACAAGATTATAAGCTATAAACTAGTTTAAATTTTTGTTGTTGTTAATAATATGATAAATCTCACATGTTACCTAGAATGTAAATGATATAAATACATACATAATTAATATAGACTTTTACGTATAAAATCTTTCGATAGTCATAATTCACAACTTTGAATATAAATTAGATAAGATAAGAATATAAGTCTGGAATGTGAAATGTCGTCTATAATAGTGTTAAGATACCGACTATTTTAGGTTTATCTATTAATTAATCTAAAGTTTAAAAGCTCTTTTTTGCTAGTTTAAAGAACTCCTTTCTTGCACGGTTTTATTCTTGACTAATTAAATCAACTATCATACGTTGCATTGAATAAGTCCTCAACATGCCCACCAACCTGATTTATAAGTAAAACATTATTTTTCTTAGACACGAACAATACATTCTTCTTTCTTTTATTTGGTCTCTCACCATCCATCATATCTTATTAATACTAATTACTCCCTCTGTTCCTGGAAAATTTGATGTTTTGGTTTTTCTCCTTGTTCCTAAAAGTTTGATTTTGTAGAATTTATTTAATATATTTATTTTATTTAAATTAATTAATGATAAAAAGTGGAGTTGAATGTGTTTTTGGACAAAGAAAATGAAACTTGTGAAACTTTTCCATTCTCATTTACGAACCAATCGTTATTTACTCTCATCGAAAAAGCTTCCCATTCCCATGTGTTAGTAACACAACACACGTTATCTGACATTTCAATAATGAGATGTTTTAATTAAATAATACAGAATTTTTTTTTTTAATTTATGTGCAAATCTTAAAACATCAAATTTTCTGAAACAGAGGGAGTATATAGTACTATCGGGAAAAACGCATCAATTAAGCCATATATATCGGCTTTGACGTGCGTCTTAGTGACTTTAATTATTGCAAGGAGCTTATTTAGCGACAATAGCCAGAGCATAAGCTAGGAAAGACACTTTGATGGGTTTTTTCAAGTGTCAACAAATGCAGTCTATCCAAAGGAAACAAGAATGTGACTAAAAGAAAATAACAAAAAGAAACACATAAAAGCAACATAATCTACCTTTAATCTTAGACTAATAACGCGCGGTCACATCTCACTTACCTTTAGGCCAAAGCAATTGACCAATTGTCGTCTATGATTTCAATGTAAATCGTGATATGAATTTATCTATTTTACACCTGTTTAATATTGATAAACAATGTAAAATAGAAGAAAAGTCCAAGAATCAACTATTGATAAACCACTTAATCAATTAAACTTATTCACGTGAACAATGTCAAAATGACATTAATTTACATTCAGATATACTAGTGATGTAGAGAGTTTATATTTATTTGTCTCAAGAAAAAAAAAATTAGAGAGTAAATATTTGTCAAGTAGTTTTCAAAATACCCTTTGTCAAAATCCTTCACATAACACTTTTTTTCGGGGATTAAGATTTTGGAGTCTTGTGCGAAAGTTCTTGTGAGGAAATAATTCGTCGGCCATTTTCATTTTCACCAAAGATCTTTTTACAATCTCTAGAAAATAAAATTTTTATGGCGTCAATAATAAGTTTACCTTAGGAACTCAACACATAAATGGACCAGCATTTATGTTAAAATTACTCAACAAACCGCAATCAAGTTGTAGAGAAGCAAATCGATCAGAATGTTTAATAGATGGTTCATGGCTTGCATCCAGCTTATTTAGTGGACATAGATGGATATTTATGGATGGAGATACTTCTTTCCTTTTGGGACCGAAAAGTTTCCGTCGGGGATTATCTCCGCTTCAAACAGAATTTAAAACATTTATTTGGGCTATGGAGTCCCTCATCACGGCTTCAAAGACGAATATTGGTTTCGTTTCAGACTGTTCTGAGTTCATATTTTTGCAGTAGAAATTAAACTGTTCAAACTTTTGAGGCTTTCATCCCATCTTTATATATTAGATTTATTCTACATTGCGAAAATGTCTGTGTAACTTTATCGATTCCGGATTAGCTCTTTTAAGATAAAAGTTTTCGTCCGATAAATTAATAAAATAGTATTTTCCAAAAAAATAAAGCCGTAGGTTGTTTTTTGTTTCACTTTAGAACATAAACATTTTTTTTCTCTAGGTTTACCAATTTCTCCGTTGTCCAATGTCGGTTTCACCCTCATATTAATGTCACTGGAAGATTACTACTACTCGATCTTTATAGCTTGTTCTTCTATTATATTCTCTCAATATATAGTTTTATGTAATCAAGAAAATTGTGTAAACACAAATATAATAGCATAAAAATAATTACTTTTTATATTATAATAACACAAAAAATGGTCCCTTTAGTTATTTTTTTCCCAACAAAAGGGACATTTTTTGGTTAATTATTACCCTCTGTTTCACAAAGAGTGTCATTTTAGAGTTTTGCACACAGATTAAGAAAACATTAAATTTTT